AATTAATGAACGACGATCATCATTAAATCCTGATACTGTAGAAGATATATTATTTGTACGATCAATTCAAAAATCACTTGAAAAAGATCCACATCTGTTTTCCTAACCTTGTTTTGTGTTTCCTTCTCTTCTTTCTCTCGCTATTGTTCATATGTTTTTGAAATTACCTAGCCAAAAAGTTATTTCTGTTTTCTTAATTAACTCATACTGCTGCTGAACTAATCTTAAGCAAAGCTTTTGCTGTGTTTTTGCCATAACAAAATTGAATTGAGTCTAAAAAGAATTTAGAGTCGGGCTCGAGCCGGGCGGTCCAGGAAAGACTACCACCCGGGCCGGGTCGGGCCAACCGATTCGCATGATGGGTCGGGCAGGCCTCGGCTTGTTCCGGGCGGGCCATCAAAAATTCACCCGATTAGGAGCTCTGACTCATACAGTTATCGACAAAATTAGAATTTGGTTCTGCATATCGTTTGGGTTTTATAGTTATTTTACTGACCTCATGCAATATGGGTATGACCGATTGTTTTTCATAACTGATCCATTTTTTCTAGAAGAACTAGCTTCTGTTGCCCATTACCAAACTAATTTATACAGTTTTTATTGCGTTACAAGAATATCGATAAAACAACATCTCATTGTTGTTGTTTATCAGCAAAAAGGAACAAGTAGAAGTGTATTTACAACTTGGTATCAATGCCGACCGAGACCCATCATTGTACTACATTACTGAATCTTGACTCTTCCTCTTACATCAATACCGATCAGAGACTGCGGATTGAGTCCGATCAGATCGGATTCGGGCCAACGTGAAAGATATTGATTCGGCTCGGGTGGGGTCAGCTCACGTTCGGCTGGGTCGCGTTTGATTGACCCATTTCCATTTAACACAAGTCATATTACTTTCATTTTTTTCGGAAAAGTTTCCACCGCTATCGCGCACCTCTGGAACACTGAAAACTTTTTGTCTGAGATTTCAATAAAAATACACCATTCTGTGTAGAATTTTATGCTGATCTCGCATATTACGTTAATCTTGCATTTAAATACATTTGAAAAAAGAAAATGACTTTTTTCAAAGATGTTCATCTGTGCTCACCCATAAAAATTGGCCCACAGGCGTCAGAAAACCTCTTATATACTTTTAAAAATCCAAGTACTATATGTAAAAATGCGCGTTCTCTCCGAATATCACGCCCAAAATCCTATCGTAGCACATTAAAGTGCCAAAAAGTCGAAAAAACTGTGTAATTAGCAGTGTAAATTAATTCTCGATTTTAACTATGACGCCTTTTTGAATTCTCTATTTGTGGATAGATTCTTTATTTCATTGGACAGAGCATTCAAACCTGCACATATTGTCAAAAATTGGAATGTAACCAGCTTTCCTTGTGGTATAGCAGAGAGCTACCGTTGAAACAAGAGAGATGAATTTCATAGACTTTTCTAACTTTTTCGACTTCTTGGCACTTTAACGTGCTACAACAGGATTTTCATTCATTCATTCATTTTTTTCGGTACGATTGACACGATTTTTTTTTGGTCGAAATATTTTAAAAATTTAACGAATTTAACGCAATTTTAACGAATTTTTTTTGAAAAAATTACATCAGGAAATTTGAGTTAATTGATGGAATCAAATTGAAGTAAATTTAATAAGAAAGGATAAAAAACTAGTGAAGCCATTATCAGAACGGACACCATCATCAGAGAACGACCTACTAAGCGAAATATGTGATAAAAAATGTGCACAATGTAAGAATGAAAGTGAAACAGGAAAAGAAAATTTACAACTTCAGTGTTCTATTTGCAAATTAAATACTTCGATTGTCGGGTTCTCATGCAAAAGTTGCCAAAAATATGTTCACATAAATTGTACACTTATGTGAGGGACTGATCTAATTGTACACTACTAATTACTTTGCTAATTAATTATTAATCTATTAATACTAATTGATTTTACCGAGCCATTTGTAATACATCCAAAAGAATTTCTTACAGTTCTATTATTTTGTAACACATGTAAAGCCGATCATGCTCAATTAACATTAGTGAAATCAATTGATAAATGCTCAGCACAAATAGCAAAAGATGGGGATATGGAATTAACTAAGAGCCAGCTTACAATTCTTTTAACAAGAATGAGCAAAATAGAAAATCAGATAAATAGTAATAGAAATGAAATGCCAAGAACTGTAACATCTAGATCAACAACATATGCGGAAGTAACAAAACCGCTTGCGGCACAAATATCGAATGAAGAAACAGTAGTAACAACAATTGAATCATCTGCTGGGGACTGATCTATCAATTTCTAAATAAAACGATACAAGAAAAATTAATGGAGGAATACCGAAATGAGAATTGGAAAACAGATGCATTTAATGGCGACTATTCTGTTTATCGACCAGGAGCATCATCATCTCATTGCTTCGTAATAAAAAATGTTCCGACAAGTCTTGATATTGATGAAGTTTCAACATCAGCTGAGTTTACAGAAAATAATACTCACATTGATTTGGAATTCAGTATTGAAAAAGCAACTTGGTTAATTAAAAAGAACGTTTATCGAAAGCCTCACATAGCGACAGTTATAGTAGAAATTATTGATGAAAGAGTTAAGCAAAAATTATTAGATCGTAAATGTGTCTACTTAGCTGGTAATCGATGTTTTATTGAAAATTTTAAAAGAATAAAAACTCCAACTCAATGCACTAATTGCTGGCGATTCGGCCATATACATCTGACATGTCGATCAGAAAAACATTGTCTGAATTGTGGTCGTAAACATGATGTTGTAGAATGTAACTCAGAAAACCTAAAATGTGCTAATTGTGGCTCGAATCATGCGGCGAATTCACAAAATTGTGAAAAATACATTGAAATCGTAGAAAAATTAAATGAAAGACCCAATGGCTAGTTCCACTATCGATCATAATAATAGCCAATTAAATATATTATCAGCGAATGCAAGAAAACGTATCTTGTTTAGTAGCGAATTATTGAACTCATTTGTCAATCAACATTATTACGATTTTCTTATTACATCTGAATATCATGATGATGCAGCAACAGCTGCTAAAAATGACCATTTGTGCATGACAAAAAGATGTGTAAAAGGACAAGGTGGAGTATTAGTTTACTTTAAAAAATCATTGAGCATAACGAGAGCATTTGAATGTGAAACAGATCAAAACGATATAATAGTTTTGTTTGCCCAAACAAAACCGAAAATAACTTGTTTTATTGCTGTCTATAGTCGTCCCGGTTGCCAAAATGTAATTAAATTTATTGACAAAATGTACAAGAAAATAAAGAAACATACCGATCAGATTATTCTCATAGGGGATTTAAATGCAAGAACATCAACATTGGGGCGATCACGTAAGCAACACTGTCGGTAAAATATTATATAAGAAAATAATTGAATATGATCTGAAAATAGCCAATGAATTTGGAGTGCCTACCTACTTTGATTCACATCTAGCAGTGTTATAGATTTAATACTTCATACTGTCCAAAGTGGTCTACAGTAAAACAGCAATTAAATCAGACAGACCATGAACTCATTGAAATTAATATGCATGATTTAGAGTGGAAAAAATCAACTTTTTAACCATTTCAAAGCATGTGTATATGGAACTATTCAAGGGCAGATTGGGCTATATTCGTGCAAAATATTGATGTTGCAATTAGAGCAACAGGTTTAAAGGCAGCATTAATCAGAAATAAAGATGAGATTGATAAATTTGCATAACAAATAGATGACATCTTACTAAATGTAGCTCATGTTACAATTCCAAAAGTAATTGTGAATAAAAACAGTAACTATTGGTGGACCCCAGAATTGACAATAAAACGAAAATTAGTGAGAAAATTTAAAAGATAGTATAAGGAAAATCGATCATCACAGAATTACAACAGATATTTAGAAGAACAACAACGGTTTACAACTGATATTGAAACAGCAAAACAAGGTTATTGGTCTAAAATTAGTAAATCAATGAAACTACGAACGATACAGAAAAAAATGTCGAGAAAACCTCAACAACCAATCCCTTATTTAATTGATAAAAATAATAAAAAGCTTGTGGAAAAACATGAGATAGTTCAGGAATTTATAGATAAATTTTGCTTCGATAATTCTCTTATTGATAACACGGATAACAACAGTGGCCGAGATTTAAATACCAATGTAAAAATAGATAAATTTATCGCTAGTGTAGAAATGAATAATATTCTAAAACAAATGTCACCTAAAAAAGCGGCTGATTTCTTAGGAATACAAATAATAATGATACAACAAGCGGGTGATTTATTTCATTCTATCCTCTTGAAAGTCTTCAATGCCCGTAGTAACAACAGCGTATTATCCACAGACATGGAGAGTTATAAAGATGTTAGCATTCGAAAAGAAAAGACGAAATTTTTCATACGTAGCCAAAAACTTCCGCTCGATTAGTTTAATATCTTCATTTGCAAGAATTTTAGAAAAAATCATAAGCCACAAATTAATTGCAGAATGTGAGAATTTGAACATTTTGCATGACAATCAGTTTGAATTTAGAAAAGGATTAGGCACAGAGGATGCTCAGCTGTTTTTGGCTCATCAAATAGCAAAAGGCATTGACAAACACCAAGTTATATCAGCAGCATTCCTCGATGTTAGCAAAGCATTTAATAGTATCGATCCAAATCCGTTATTGACTAAACTAAACGATTCGAGTATATTGTTGACTCTCGTGAGTTTTATTAGATCATTTTGTGAGCCACGACAAGCTTATATTTCTATTGAAAATGACATTACATCAAAAGTTAAACTATCGAGTTACGGAATTCCACAAGGAAGCTCATTATCGCCAGTAATATTTACATTAGATCAACTGTTAGAACTTCGTCGAATAACACTATACTATTTGGTTATGCTGATGACCTGACAGTTACTGTATCGGGAAACAAAAGTCGATATAATGTAATGAGATTAAGATCATTCATCAATAAAACTGAAAATTCATTAAGAGAAATAAAATTGGAAATCCAAATTGATAAAACACATCTAATCCATTTTAATCGAAAAAGACAAAGACATAATTCTCATTTAATCTATAAAGACAGCTGAATACTACCCTCGGATTCCATAAACTATTTAAGGGTGATATTTGACAAAAACTTTAAGTGGCACAAACATCTTGAGCAAGTTAGAATATCAACCACTAGAGAATTTGACAAAATAAAGCGATGGATTAGTCAAAATAAGCTACAAGATGTGAAAACATTAATTGATTTATACAAAACTC